AGGGGGTCAGCTCTGTTAAAAGGAAGAAAATCTGGTCTTTTTTGCAGTTCACCTTGGAGGATAGTTAAGAATGTGCTTTTCTGTAGTGCGGGAAGTGTTCTAGGTTAAATGTACTGCTGATGTGCGATCTCTCTCTCTCTCTCTCTCCTCTCTCCTCTCTCTCCTCTCTCTCCACCCTTTGCAGGCAGGAACTGGTGGTGGGTGTCACAAAGGAGCTGACCATGAACATCAACCTGACTAACTCCGGGGAAGACTCCTTCATGACAAACATGGCTCTGAATTATCCCAAAAACTTACAGTTTAAGAGAATACAAAAGGTACCTGTGACACAGAGGCTTGGGAAGCATGCTGCCATGCCTTTTCCTTGTTGCTCACCTGCTTCCCTGCCATTGCCACCAGCCTCCTTCTACTCCTTCTACTCTAGTATAAGAATTGCAATTAGACGAATCCTCTCCAAATCTGGGCCCTAAAAACCTTTAGTGGTACCACATGATCACCCCCTCCTTGTGTATAGTCTTTTTTTTTAAGATTTATTATGTATACAATGTTTTGTCTGCGTGTTTGCCTGCAGACCAGAAGAGGGCATCAGATCTGTAAGATGGTTGTTAGCCACCATGTGGTTGCTGGGAATTGAACTCAGGACCTCTGGAAGAACAGCCAGTGCTCTTAACCTCTGAGCCATCTCTCCAGCCCGTGTATAGTCTTCTTTAATCAGGACTGTGAAAGATAAATTCTAATGCCTAAGGAATCGAGGAAGTGAAACATTCTACCCAACTATTCACCAGACACAAGACCAGCTGCAAAGATGGGCTTGCAAGCATGTGACTGCCAAGTGTCATGACACTGAAATGTTCTGTTCTCTTAATTCAAAGATGGTCAGGAACTGCTGTTTGAAGTTCTTTTGGGAACTAGGAAACCACCCCGCTCTTGTCTGGAAATCTAGATGAGGAGCCTTAGCTAGAAGGCCACATAGCAGTGTTTGAGCCTCCATCTCAGTGTGACACCCACACTGGTCCACAGCCCAGTTCCAATGTCTTCCTCTCAGTGAGGACTTTATACAATCCTGTCTATTGGAACTGGTCCCCACTGCTACTGTGCCTCACTCACAGAACACCACCCTTAGGCTTTGGATTTAAATTCGACCCTCAGTTGTGAGCAGGCCAGGGACCAAGTCTGACAAGTAGACAAATCAGCAAATGGTTGTTGTATTTGTGTGAAGAAACCGCTCCATTTCCTGGAGAGATGGCTCAGTTAGAAGCACCAGCTGCTCTTCCAGAGGACCTGGGTTTGAGTCTCAGAAGCTACATGACAGCTCACTCTTAAGGTTTTTCTTGCTGACAAACTTCTCTGCAGATACAATAAACCAATCAGACCAAATCAAACTGAATTAAAAGAAACCCAGGTTTAGTGGATGCCAGCACTCGTGGGTGGGCCGGGAAAAACGCGGAGGGGGAAAGGAGAACTGGAAGATCCACAAATTCATGGGGGGGGGGAGGGGAGAGCAGTTTAAATAGCCTGTGGGAGTGGTCTTGACCCTCTCTGGGGAGGGGTCACCGTTTGGAGGACTTTCTCAGAGGTGGGGTCTGGACTGAGGCAACTCCCAGGGGAGGGGCTTGAAATGGAGCTTTCCACCCAACATTCCATCCTGGATGCCAGGAGCTGGGGTGAAGCCCCCAGCCAAACATTCAATCTGATGCCCTCTTCTGACCTCTGAGGGTACCAGGCACGCACATTCTTGCAAAACATACATGCAGGTAAAACATACCTACCCATAAAATAAATAAAAATTAAAACCAAAACCAAGACATCTTCTGTTTTAACAGCCGCTCTCTCCAGACATTCAGTGTGATGAACCCAAGCCAGTTGCTTCAGTCCTGGTCGTGAACTGCAAGATTGGTCACCCCATACTCAAGCGCTCATCTGTGAGTCTGTTGTGATTAGGTGGCTCTTCTCACTACCCTTGAGCTCCCAACCGCAGCTGCATCTTCCAGCTGTGGTCACCATGCTTCCCTTTGCTGCGTTCACAACTGCTAAGCCTGCCCTGAAATGGAGACCGGTGGGGGTATAGGAAATGGTTTTCTGAAGCATAGCATGGCCAGTGTTGGCTTCTCCGAGGAAAGCAGAGAGAAGCGGGAGTAGTGTGGAAGGAACAGACAACCAAATTATCTTTGGACTGTGCAGAAACTCGGCTGTAGTTTCCTTTACTTGAAGGAGAGTAACACCATCTGTTTGGCTCATTCGGCATTTGCAGAGTGAGCTTGTATGAAACAGTGGCTGTGCTACAAAACCAAGAGAAACCCACGGGGAATGTAAACTGGGTCTCCCGGTGCTGCTTTCGTCACTGTTCGGGTGCTGTGATGAGACCACGTGACCAAGGCAACTCTTAGAAAAGGAAGCATTGAATTTGGCGCTTACAGCTTCAGAAGCTTAGTACCTTTTCATCATGGTGGCAGGAAGGCAGGGTGCTGGAGAAGTAGCCAAGAGCTACATCCTGATCCTGGGCAGACTGGCCTGGTTTGCGTTTGAAAACTCAAAGCTCCCCCTACCTCCCTAAAGACATATTTCCTCCAACAAAAACATACCTTCTAATCCTTCCCATCCTGTCAGATTTCCACTTCCTGGCAGTCAAGTATTTGAGCCTATGGGGGCCATTCTTATTCAAATCACCACAGCCAGTTTGAAAGTGACTAGTTCCCCCATTTACTTAGGTCTTATTTCCTCCTTTAAAACAGGCAAATGTCTCAGTGATTTGGCAGCTAGAGGAGAGTATCTTTCCAAACAGGACAGCAGATATCACTGTGACCATCTCTAAGTAAGTAGTGGCTGTGTTAGCAGACTTAGTATCTGGCCTTGGGGGGAAAATGTTGTCGTGTTCAAGAGTGCTCTGGTTCTCTCTGGTTCTCTCACTGTTCTGGGAGAAATGGGGTATCTCACAGAACCCGAAGAAGTTTCCTCTCATCAAAGATACTTAAGATGTTCGAATTCACACAAAGGAACACTAAGGTATATTCTGGTGGGCTGGGCTTTGAACCTGAGTCCTAGTTCTGGCCTTCTCAACTCTGGCAGAACTCTGCAAGCCTCCGTGTTCTAGGGCAGAACAGGGTACGGTGCTGGGAGCGATCAAACAAGGGCGATTCTACTCCTGAAGCAATGTCTGAAGATTTTTGTTTTGTTTTTGCAAGACAGGATTTCTCTGTAGCCCTGGCTGTTCTGGTACTTGCTCTGTAGACCAGGCTAGCCTTGAACTCAAGAGATCTGCCTGTTTCTGCCTCTGCTTCCTGAGTGCTGGGAGAACAGGTGTGTGCCACCATGCTCAGCATTCTAGAACTAATTTTGATTGCCATGAGTTAGGAGGTGATACTGGCTTCCTTTGACAGATGTTAGTAACTATTATTCAGTGTGGAGGACAAGTCCGTAACAGGTCATCCTTTGGCTCAAAATGTCAAGGATGGAAGCTGAGAAATCCTTCTAAAACCAAATTTCCCTCAGTGTGAAATCCAAGAGATTCATCTTGGACATGTTTGTTAGGAAGTCAAGGTAACAAAGCAGTTGTATGGTCAATTGACATTTTTATTCCCAGTTCCGATGAGAAGTCTTTGGCCAGAGAGACCCACAGCCTTCAATTCAGGCATGCCTTCATTGCAGTTCTTTCCAGGTAAGTACTCGCAAGGGATCTGTGTGATGGTCGTGCAATGAGGGCAGCATTGGAGATTCTCTCATGTGGACAGAAGTGCCCAGTAGGGTGGATGTGGGCCTTGTCCTTCTCTGAGAGGAGGCTGCTTAGTGCCCAGCCTCTCTAGGATACTGTCAGGTTCAAAGGGTAGCCTCCTACACACAAAAAGGGCAGCTCACTGACTTGTCCAAAATTGAGTCCCAGCTCAACCTGGACTATAGGATTTCTGGTGGTTAGATAAAAGCTCGCATTCCTCAGGACTTGTTAAACTGGTTCCACTCTGTCAGGAGTCATTTCCCTTACCACTGGCAAAAGGGATAGCTGGCTCTCCGATTAAAACCACCTGTGGTGCCTATCACCACTCTGAAGGCCATGCTAGAGACAGCCTTGGCAGCTTGGAATAAACTTTTACTTTTCTACCCATGGACCCGCAGTTTGGGGTTCTTTACTCCACCACTCGCATGTGTCATGTTGGGTTTTTAAAACACCAAAATGGTTGTCAAAAGCACAGTGCCAACTGGTCCTGCTACAAAAGGAAACTGTTGTGATGCTATGGAAAAGGAGGGACTGTGGGGCTGGAGAAGGGCTGGGGAGATGGCTCGGTGAGAAAAGTTCTCCCTGTGTAAGCATCAGGACCCGACTTCAGGTTCTTGGCACCCATGTAAAAGTCAGGTGTGTAAGTCAGTGCTGGGGTGGGTGGGGTACGAGCGGCATCCTTCCAGCTCACCAGCCAGCCAGTCTAGCTGAAATAGCAAGCTCCCAGGTTCAGTGAGATACTGTCAAGAACTGATAGTGTAGGGGACTTGCTGTTGACCTGGCCTGCAATGTGCACCCACAGCAAGTGCACTGCCACACGTGAACACATAAGTTAGAGAAAAGAAAGGAGGCTACTCAGCAGAGTCCAACTGTATAGCTTGCAAATATTCTTTTGTCCCAACTGCCTTACAAAGCACTTAACATTTGACCTTCAGCCTAGAGTCCTCTTAAGGACCTGGTGCTACCTGTCCTAGCTTTTCCAGTTGGAACCAGGAAGGAGTTTAAGTTCTCATGCATGTCCTCTCATTGCAGACCGTCAGTGATGTACATGGACACAAGCCAGAGCTCTTCTGACCACAAAGAATTACTCTTTAACGTAAGTACATAGTGCTTACTGTCCACCTAAGGCTGGTAAAGTCACTGAGCATTGACTTGTTGCTCATTTTATTTGGCAGATAAATGGGGAAAATCTCTTTGGAGCTGTATTCCAGTTGCAAATTTGTGTCCCCATCAAATTACAAGGTTTCCAGATTGTAAGAGTGAAGAATCTAACAAAGACTCAGGTATTTAAATGGGAAATGGGATTCTTTTTTTCTCCCCAAGACAACAGGGTTTCTCTGTGTAGTCTTAGCTGTCCTGGAACTCGCTCTGTACACCAGGCTGGCTTCGAACTCACTGAGATCTGCCTGCCTCTGCCTCCTAGGTGTCTCACCACTGCCCAGCTTTTTTGCTTTTCTGGTTTTTCAAGGATTCTTTATCATGATCCATCTCTTTCCAGAGACTACAGATTCTCAAAGGTATGAAAACTAGAGCTTTAACTAGGCCTGGCAGCACAGGCTTATAATCGTAGCTATCTGTGAGAATGAGGCAAGGAATCATAAATTTAAGCCAGCTTGGCTATGGTTTAAGTTCAAGACTACTCTGAGCAACTTAGTGAGATCTTGTCATAAAGAGTGCTGAGGATGCCGCTGAGTGCAAGGCTGCTTGCTATCCTGCACAAGGGCCTAGATTCAAACATTAGGACTACAGAAACAAAACAGGGGCTGGGGGAATAACTCAGTAAAGCATTTGCCTAATAAGCACGAGATTTGATTCTCACAATCCATGTAAAAATGCTGGTGGTGGTGGTATGTGCTTGTAATCTCACTGCAAGGAAAGTGAAGGATCCCTGAGACTCACTAGCCCAGAAATCTAGCTGAATCGGTGAACTCCAGGCCCATGAACGATTGTCACAAAGGTGGCTGGCATTCCTGAGGATGGTACCTGAAGCTGTCCTCTTATTTCTACTTGTCCCTCAACCCTACTTGCCTCTCAACCTGTACCTGCACACAAACCAATATGCATTTAAAACTTTAAAAACAAAACCCAAACAAACCAACATGAACTTTAGGAGTAAAAGATAAGACTACTGAATTATGAGGAAGTATAGGAGTAAGTAGGAGGAAAATGAATTATTAGATCTTAAAGCCATCTATTTCCCTTTGATGAAAATAAGCAAAAATCCAAACATCAGTACCATAGAGGCATTTATTTCCCTTTTGAGAATCTATAAATTGTGCTTCTGTTTCTGTGTGATTGGAGAACGAATCTGACAAACATTCCCCACACTTCCCCTATGCTGGTGTACACCGTCTCCGTTTTGACCCTCTAGTTTCTTTTTTTGCTCTGTTCTGCAACATCCTTTTTGCATTCAGTAAATAATTCATCTGAGGTCTGGTTCCTGCACCAGCCTTGACAACAGCATCAGGAGCAGGAAGGACCACAGCTGAGGGCTGGGCTTTTCTGATTTGTTTTCGCTCATCCTACATAGGGTGTCAGGTTTGCTGACTCTGCTGACAGAAAGAGGACGTATAAGATGTATACACTTGTCCTCTATGTAGTTTATTTTTAAGAACACTTGTTAAAAGCAAGTTTAATCATGTCGCTAAACATTTTGGTTACCTTTAAAAACAAGATTCTCTTTTAAAAAGCTGACAGGGAACTCATAAAGATGGGCTGTTACCTCCATTCTGCTCCAGTGGTGGCAGAGATTAAAAACAGTTCCAGAGGCGCTGGAGGTGGACTCAGTGTGAGCACTAAGTACCGGCTTACTGGAACAGACTGTGTTGGCAGAGCAGGTCAGTGGCAGAGCTGAAACTCAGGACAGTTCTGTAGAAATGCTGCAGTTTTTTCTTAACTTGCTTCATGGCCGTGGTCTGACGTTTAGTCTTAAAGCGCATATGATTCAGAATCTTGTCTGTGAGGTAATGTAGCCACAGCACATTATTGTAAGGGTGATACTCACCCCAGCAGTTTCTGTTCTCCTTCCTCATGAGCCTGTAGATCTCAAACTGGTAGTCACCCTCACCTGTAAAGAGGTCCTCTTCGGAGGAGATATCACAGAAAACCACAATGCCATCCCGCTCCAGGCGGGACAGGGTTTAGTCAATGATGTTAACTTGTAGCCCATGGGTAGGGATGGTGCTTGTCTTGCCATTGAGGGTGTAGCGGAGCTCCCTGAGGTTGGTTTTCTTTAGCAGCACATTCCCCCAGTGTAAGTCCCGGTGCTCAAAGTGCAGCGATGCCTCTGCCACTGCGAGGGAGGCGGTGACCTGGTGTAGAATGCTCTTCGCAGTCCACAGGGAGGACAGCTTTGTTTGCATTTGCTCCAAGTCAACCCCACCAAACTCAAATTCCAGTATAATAAAGAGCTGGTCTTCCTGGAAAAAGTCAGGCCGGTCATTTGCAGATTTTTTCGTTGAGTTATAGTTGTCCCAGGCTTTGAGCAGCAAAGGAGGGTAAGGCCCTTGGACACAGTGTACGGAGTTCAGCCCAATAAAGCCTTCTGTGCGGTTGTACACCTCATCGGACAAGAGGCTCAGCTCTTTGGAGATGATGATCTCGGGTAGGATCTCCTCAAAGGTTTTTTGGTGGGACCCATTGACTAAATCTGGTCCTTCGATAGCAATGACTTTTAGGGCGACAGGCGTTTGATCAGTAATGATTTGAAACACTTCCCCGAACACTCCTTCCCCAATCTTCTGACAGCGCTCCAGTTTTTCAGTGGAAAGGCAGTCATTAAAGGGGATAGGCCCTTCCTGATTACATTCCCCATAAACCTTTTCAGCGTAAGATGACTTTTTGTCTGTGACCTGCAGGGTCTTTAAGGGGCTTAGCAAATACATAGACGAGGAGTGGCAGGAGGAAACGGTTCTGTTCATGGTAAGAGGGGCTGAGCATTCAGACAGGAAGGACCTAGAGGGAGAACAGGCAAGACCGCTGCTGCATACCTCTGACACATTAGCTACGATTTTCTTCTTGTGGAAGCTGAAGGAGGCTCTGGTTTTGGTCCAAAAACAGGTCTCACTGATGTTATTCAAGCCCAGGGGAGGGACTGAATCTTTCCTTCTCTGCTTAGATTCGTAAAGAGCCGAGGTTCCCATCGCTTCTTGCTGTTTCCTCTTCTGGAGCGATTCAGTTCTCTTAGGCCTGCAGATTTGCCCTGGTACACAAAGGTCTTTGCAATTACTGGCCTTTCCACAATCCATCTGGTCGGCTCCTTGAGACATCACCTTTTGACTTGTGGCCCTGGTCTCTCTTGCCAGACCCCAGCCCTTTAGCCTGTTTCCCACCTGCTGTGTCTCACGGCACGACTCCTCCGCATTATTTCCATCTGTTCCAAACTCGTTATCTTCTGTGGTCCCCGAGCCCACAAGGCTTAAGAGAGCTGACCCGAAGCTGGCTTCGGCTTGGTGGGCCATCGTGTTGAACCCGCCTCCATCTGTTGCTGCTTCCAGGGGGCAGGGCAGCGATGCCTCCTCCAGGGAGGCTTCCGGCAAGAGGAAGCCATTGGGGACTGCAGAGGCTGCATCCGGAGAGTCGGGGGCTCCGGGGGAGGCCGGAGAGCTGAACAGGGAGGCGCTGGTGCCCAGGTCGTTGCTGCCCTTGGACTGGCTGCACACGCTGAGGTCCGGGCTGAGACAGCCCAAGTTGCAGTTAGGGAAGAGTGGCGGTCGCAGAAGGCCGCGCGGGGTGCTGTACTTCTGCGGGGGCCGAGGTCGCAGCCTCTGGGTGGCTGTCAAGCTCTTCTGGTCCCGGGAGATGCGTCTCGGAGGACGCCGGCGCCGCGGCCTCACGGGGCTGCCAGGGAAATCGGGGTCGTCAGGGTCGTCGGAAGTGGCAGACGACTGGTCATTGCCGCTGAAGCTGCTGCTGCTGAAGGCGCGCTTCGGATCCGGCGGCTGGAACCATGGCACGGCCTGCCGGCTAGGCTGCCGTTGCGACCTCCGGACGCCCCTCGCCGCGTACGTTCGGAAGAAACGGGTCCCGGGTGCCGGGAGAGACGCTGCCATGGCGGGTGCCCGCCCGAAAGTTCAAACTGAAACACCGCGAGACTCCGCGTGCGCGCCCGCCGGGTCCTAGCGCCGGCTCTCAGCTGCGCAGCTCGCCGGACTTCCCGAAGCCGCCAGGGGGCAGATGCCTAGCGCGACCTAGAGCGCTCAGGGCGGCTCAGGCAGGGATCTCGTTTCAGGCCCACACTGAGTGCACGCAGAGTCGAGAGAGCGCGTGTGGAAGCGATCCTGTTCAGGTGAGTGAGGTCTCCTCGAGAGCCCGAGAGAGGGATGTGGAGAGCCCCTTAACAGGGTGACCGCAGAGGTCAGGTCGCAGCTTCTGCAAAGTTCTTTCTGTGACTCTCAGCCTCACTGGTCTTGCTTGCCAGGGTGACTGACTCTGCTTGGGCGAAGGGGTTTGCTCAAACTGCTCACAATGTCTGCTCTGGGACCTTAGATGCTCTATCCTAGATATCCCGAGAAGGGAGTAAGCAAACTCACTTTTTTGCTTTTGCAGCATGTAGAAGAGTGGCATTCCGTGATCTGTGCTATCACATCGAATAAAGAAAATGTCACTGTGGCTGCGGAGATCTCCCTGGGCCACACTAAGCAGGTACCACTAAAATTATGCAGATTGGGTCATCCAGCTCTAGGGCCTCGCCTCTAGAAGGAATAATAGCATCTGGAATATGTCATCCAGAGTAGATCGCTTGTTTGACCTTCTGTCCCAACCTCCTCTTAGCAAGTACGTAGTAGGTATCTTAATCCTTTTCCACATAGACGTGTAGGAATTACCCATGACTTTAGCCGGGCGGTGGTGGCGCACGCCTTTAATCCCAGCACTCGGGAGGCAGAGGCAGGCAGATCTCTGTGAGTTCGAGACCAGCCTGGTCTACAAGAGCTAGTTCCAGGACAGGCTCCAAAACCACAGAGAAATCCTGTCTCGAAAAACCAAAAAAAAAAAAAAAAAAAAAAAAAAAAAAAAAAAAAAAAAAAAGGCAAGAAAGGAATTACCCATGAGTCCTCTTTGCTACTTCCCCGTGTGTATCCTAGCAACAAACCCTGCCATCCCACCTTCTCTGTCTCTACTCATGTGGTTGTCATTCAAGTCATCTTCTTTGTGGGGCCTGTTGCATAAACCTTTGGCACGGTCTCTTTGTCTTGGCTTTCCCCCTAACCTATACAAAATAATTCTTAAAGAGCTGAAGAGACGTATCAGAGCGTGTACCGATCTAGAAGATGTGGTTCGGTTCCTGGCCCCAAGTTGGGCAGCTCACAACCACCTATAACTCCAGCTGTCGGGGGATCTGATGCCCTCTCCTAGTCTCCATTGACACCCACACTCACCTGCACACGTGCACATATATGCACATGATTTTAAAAAATGAAATAATTCTTCAGCTAGCATTAGACTGTGCTATCTTCCTTTAAAAACAAAAATCAAGCCAGGCGGTGGTAGTGTACGCCTTTAATCTCGGCACTCAGGAGGCAGAAGCAGGCGGATCTCTGTGAATTCCAGGCCAGCCTAGTCTACAAGAGCTAGTTCCAGGACAGGCTCCAAAGCTACAGAGAAACTCTGTCTTGAAACACACACACACACACACACACACACACACACACAAAACACAAAAAAATCAGAAACTCCTAACAAACAGAAGCAGTGGACTTTGGAGTTGGATACACTTAGGTTAAAATCCATTCTGCTTTCATGACAAGCAAAGAATCTGCTCTCTCTGTCTGTCCTTTCTCACTTATCTCTCCCTTATGCCCAGATAGTCTGTTATTTCTGTTTTTTAGCTTGTTAATATCATTGTGGCCATTGGGACTTTGCACTTGTTAATTTGTTTAACACTGCTCAAATTTTATTTTCCTAGAAAGGCCTTATGATAAAGTGGGAACAGTCAAGTTTAACTTTGTTCAGTGTTTCAGATAAGAGCAATGTGATTGCAACTGAGGTGGACGTGGGAACGGAGGACAAGGGACACATGGATGACCGACTGTTTTAGATGACCTGTCCAAAGCTGATGTTGGGAGGGGGTTGTGGCACGATGTCAAGCGTTGGGGAAAATGACTACAGGCTTGTGACTTGGATAGCTGTGTGATGGCTGCGACCTTTACAGAGGCTAACAGAATACTGGAGAGGGAATATATTTGAAGGGAAAGATGGTTGAAACTCTCCTGAAACAATGAGTTCATATCTAAAATGTTTTTGTGTGTGTGTGTGTGTGTGTGTGTGTTCCTCCACACCCTACCTTTCTCCAATTTATAGTTACTAAAAGATGTAACCGAACTGCAGATCCTTGGTGAAATAGCTTTCAACAAATCTCTCTATGAGGGGCTGAATGCAGAGAACCACAGAACGAAGGTAACGCCTGCTGTTTTCTGATTAGTCTTCTGGGGAAACTGCTGTCATTTCTGACCTTGGCTACGCTTGCCATCTGCCCTTGTGACCTTGAGCTTCTGCCTCCGTTTTTTTCTTCTGTGAAACAGGAATCAACAACAGTGTGTATTTAAAAAATTGATTTTGAAAATAATTTAGGAAAAAGCTAAAACATTTCCTACATGAGAAACTTTTGTGTACATAACAATGTCTTCCTAGTATGCAACATTCGTGTCTGTCACAGTGTTGAACAGGAGCTCACAGTGTCTGTTACAGTGTTGAGCAGGAGCTCACAGTGTCTGTTACAGTGTTGAGCAGGAGCTCAGTGTCTGTCACAGTGTTGAGCAGGAGCTCACAGTGTCTGTTACAGTGTTGAGCAGGAGGCAAGCAGGTTGAGTGTGAGGCCAGCCTGGTCTACAGAGTGAGTGCTGTAGAGACTCCACAGAGAAACCCTGTCTCAACAAACACACAAACAAACAAACAGTAATATCATTGGAATCTATCCCTAACTGAAAATAATGTTTCCTTCAGCTGTCAGTGTGGGTTCAATCTCCTCCCAGTGATCAACAAAGGAGGCAGTCTGTCCTTACTGGCTTTGACCACGGTGACTCCATAATGGCAGTTGACAGGATGGCCACTGGACTGCCCACAAGCAGGGGGGCATCCTATGTCCTGCTTCTCCCTTATCCCCTGCTGTGGTAGTGATGGGCTGCTCTGGGGAGAACCTGTGTATTTCAAAGGGAGCAAAGGAAAAAGGCTTTGAGAAGTAGGGGTGCTGTTTTGCTCCAGTCAGACCTATTGTGCCCCTGGCGTCTTGGGGCCTCCTTCATTCCTCGGCTCAGGCTCCAGAGTCCCGTCTCCCCTTATCTTCCACTCTTCTGTTAAGATCACAGCTCTGTTCCTGTCCCCACTCTGGCTCTGGTGCTTCCCTTCCTACTCTCAAGGTCAGAACTTGTCAAGTTCAGTTTACTTGTAGCTAAGTGTGGCTCAGCAGGTCTGGGCCCATCCTTAGCTGGGAGAGGCCTCAAGGGTGAGTTGGGTAACTCCCTACCCTGTATGGAAATCCCAACAAAGCATGCCTGACCTTGGTGGCTATGCACTGGCCTGAAGGGAACTCAGTGTCTTCCAACAGAGAGTCATGATGACCCCTGGCTTTAACTGTGTCCTGGCAGCATGCACTGGCCACTACCCAGAAGGGCAGGCTCCTGTCAGGAAGCGGATCCGTAGAGCCTTTCAGCTTATCAGGGTGAGAGAAGACTCCTGAGCTGAAGAGATGCTTAGGAAAACACCTGATGGGGATGATTCCTAACAAAAGAGCCCTGCGGCGCCATGGATGGGCCTACTTTTGCTCTTATGGTGTCCCTGAGGGCTGCACTAGGCCTGATGAAGAACAGGGTAACCCCTGCCAGACCTTTCTTGTAGGAAAATGTATTACAGAGACTTTAGGCATGTGTGCGAGGTTTAAGAACGTCTGTCAGATCTGAGTTAAAGAGGACTCGGAGCTCTTTAAACAAGTCACCACTTGGAGACTATGACCATAGGGATCAAGGACGCAGAGGGACACAGCTGCTGTGAGAGAGTTCTCAGACTGGCAGCCCACCTTTAGGACAAGGTCACATCCCCCGATGACCTAGCTCATCCAGACCGGAGACCAGAATAGTTTCTTGTAAAGCGCTGTGATCAGAAGATGGTTTGAGGTGATGGAAAATGCTGCGTCAGGGGACGCTCAGCTTTTTGCCGTCCCATCAGTCTTGATCAATATGCAGGTTGTTACCAGGTCCTTACCTCTTGGTCCTTAAAATAACATGGGCTCTCTTCTGCCCTTGTAAGTTACTGACTTATCGGACTTCTCTTTATCCAGATCACTGTCATCCTCCTGAAAGCCGAGGAGCTCCACTCTTTGCCCCTCATCATTGGCAGCAGTATTGGAGGCCTCCTGCTCCTGGTTGTGATTATAGCCATTCTGTTCGAGGTCAGTCCACTCCTGCTGTTTGTAAGAAGGAGAAGGCATGCCACTCTGGTACTGGTTTCAGTACATTTGAGGACAGCTAAGCTCAGACCTAGTGCACCTACCCTGGCCTTGTGGGCTCTTTTCTTTGTTCTTAAAGCTATGTGTCCTGTTTGGACAGATGAGCCTGACGGTGACTCTCTGAAAAAACAAAAGTTTTGAACAAAAAACAAAAAAATTGAAGTATTTGAGCACAGAGAGATGTTCCTAAGACAGAGCTGATTGTCACCTGTTTTTTAAAGTCCTTTATCTTTCCCTGCCCCAGAGTCCAAACTTTCTTAGTGTTGTTTGAGGCCTTCTACATCCTGGCCTCTGCCTCTCACACCTGTAAGTCTTGCTTCTTTTCCCCAGACCAGTTGACCCATTCCCTAAATAGGTTCACGCCTCTCTGTTGGGGTGCTTGCAAGTGCCCGTGCTAGAAGCACCAGTCCCCCCCCCCCCTTCACACAGCTCCTCAGAAGGCTTAACCAGGCTCCTGGAAGCTCTGTGCTGGCTTCCAGTCATCAAGCCTCAGTGTCATCCCCCTCCCCCTTCCTAGATCCTGAGCTCCTGTAGGAGACTGTGTACGATATTTGTGATATTTGTCTTTAGCATTGTGGGCTGTCTTCAGCATGCTCCCCGAAAGAGGATTAGATCCATCTGGCATGACTGATTAAGTTAGTTAAGTTAAAGGTGTTTAAGTGTTGTGGTAGGTCAGAGGGCCCTGGGAGGTCAGCTCTCCTTGCGGTGTGAGCACCACGCAGGCAGCACTGAGGGAAAGTACAGGGAGGGCCC